ACAATACTTTATAACAATAACAATTTATTTACAAATGTACAAAAAAATCAAAATATAACTCGGGCTCCGGTGGTATCGAGGCTTAGGAGACATCAGATGAATGGCGCACAGTAGACATCAGATGAAACACACAAGAAGCTAGTGCAAGGCCATAATGTCACAGAATGATCACTAACACGTCTCCCAAACGAAGAACCATATTCAATAATTCATATAACATGTCGGCCGGAAGTACCAATCATCACCGGAAGTAGACGTCATCGGATTCAGGAAGTTCTCTTATAACGTAGAATTAACATCAGGAAAGGCTATCTACATCTACTAAAAGGTCACTGGATTGTAGTCACTCACACTCATAAATGCAAAAACAAAAGGCCCAGATTTCAAATGGTCCACACAGGTACCAGTAATGCATCCCATTTCCACACAGCATGGGAGCCGCCCAATCCACTAAGTATGGGTCATAATTTCACACCGTCCACACAGTTTGGTGTTCAGAACTAATCTGACAAACCTGGCCAAAACCCTGGATAAGTGTAACTATTAATATCATCAAACTTGACAAACGGGTTTACCAAGCGATGTCGCAGCTCTTTATGCTACAATTCAGTGACCATCGATGCGTGCAAAGTTAAACACTCCACAATGTATGGAAGAGCATTTGGAGCAATATTTACAATATTGTGACATAAATGTTGAATTTACCGGGTGGCTGTAAATAAAAAACATGACAACACTTGTACAGGTTAAAGCATTTTTGAGGCGAAATCATATCATTTTTTTTCACTTCATGATAGTAAATTAAAATTATAAAGATTAAATTTTTTAGCTAGCCAAGTTATACTTGTTCAAACTCAGTTGGAAGAAATTCAGATTAGCTTTTTCTTCTTAAAAAAAACCCAGCTTTTATTGATTGGATTTGATCTGCTACAGTTTCCAATTCTTTTCTCTGAAACAGATCGTTTTCCCATTAAAAAGAACAATTCCCCCCCCCCCCTCCCCGAAAAAAAAGAAATCTGGATGAGGCTGGATTTTTTTTTTATAATGCAATAACGTGGGAGAGTTCGAACATTCTACACCATAAATTGGGAAGGCTAACATTGGTCTTTCATTTAGGATTATTACAATGCTAAATTGAGAGCTAAACAGTGCCGGGGGGGGGGGGGGGTCTTCTTGCGCCTCTTCTGAAAATTATTCTTCTTTTGTCGATCCTTTGCTCTGACTATTATTGATTCTGTGCTGCAAAGGTATAAATGTACAAAATGCATACTTATATATAAAAGGTAGGTCTTACCAAGCAACTATAACATGTATAATGAAAAAAAGTATTTTGCGAATAACTTGCGTTTCTTCTTTGTATTAATTTTTTGAAAATGGTTACGCAAGCAATATCTAATAAACGATTAATTTGAGTACTAGTAAATGTTGTGTTCTGCAAATACGCCTAAGCTGTGTGTTTCTTTAATTCCACATGTTCACGAAATTTTATACATTATTCTTTAGAGATACCTTGAGATTTCGATACAAGGCACCCTGCTTAAAATCTATAAGCAATTTTGAACAGAATAATTATATTATCAAAGTTTTACAATTATGTAGATTTATTAAATTAGGCCCATCGTAAACCACTTGCCTAAATAGATCTATTTTCATATCATAGCATTATAGAAGGGACATACAGTATATGAATTTTAAATCCTTAAAATATTTGGTTGATTTTTTTTATTTATATATTGCCGAGCATTTCAATTTAAAATCTATTGAAAGCAATTTCAGTTTTTTTGGGGGGGGGGGGCAACAACCAAATATTTTCAATATTTTCATGGGAAGACTTTCAAATAGAAAGTCCTTGTCAAGCTAAAAAGTTATCATACAGACGTTAATCATGTTATCCCCTAATCACGTTATCCCCTCATATGCCTCCGCTTCCGGTTCCTATACGGCCATAAAATAGATAAACTTCATATGCACCTTTTCATGAATGCACAGAAAAAAACGCGCTAAAGTGCATGTATTGCTGAGGTGCGTAGGAATACAAATTCCTAGGCACTTCTTTCTGAAAGAGGAATTCCATAACAATATAAATAAAGAAAGTGTCTGACTCTGACGTTCAATACACAATTTCCATACAAATAAATCACAAATAATAACATTATGTTCCCTTTCAAAATAAAATCATCATTTTCATAGCTATATTGATTCTTGATCAGTAACACTTTCTACGTCACAATGATCAAATGAAACGTCTGCTTTGATCTACACCGCAAATAATCATGGATGAAAAAGGTGACTTTAGCATGCCGCCTCTACCTGATTTATTTCCTGAAATAGAAGATATAGATTTTCTGTGCGATTTAGAATTTGATGAAGTCATTGAAATTACTCAAATTGGAATGGCAGTTTCTTCAGTGGCCAACGTACATTGAAGAAATGGAGAGAAAACTCCAGGTTGATGAAGAAGGGGGTGAAAGAAAAGTTGGCCTTCGTCTGAATGATTCCACTTCTCATAATACTCTCAGATTTAGAAGAGTTTCTGAACAGGAAATTCAAAGATATTTTGATAACAACCAGTCAGATTCAACCAAAAAGAATACAAAATGGGCTTTGAATATAATTCATGGTAAGTTCAAACAAATATGCACACAAACAAAAATAATGTTGATTATTGCTTCTTTGCATATAACAGATAAACTGCTCAGTCGAAATTAACACTGATGTTCAAATTCATCACCAAATGCAAATTTGACTGATATGCAAAGCAACATTTTCATATTGGTCTAACTCTCATCTGTGCCTCCTTTTTTCTTACATGTAGAATGGTCCCTCGAGGCTCTGGGTAAATCACTGGACCTCACAAATATTTCCTCTGAGGAGCTAGCAAATTACCTATGCCAATTTTATTGTGGAGCAAAACCAAAGATCACCAAATCAAGGTAAAAACAACTCCCAAATGAATTAGCTGAGGAGTTCCATAAAAATACATTAAAGAACATCAGAGCAGCACTAAACAGACATCTACAAGATATAGGTCGAGACATTGATATTGTTAAAGACAAACATTTCAAAGTGGCAAATAGAACACTTAATGGCCTATTGAAGGAAAGAATGAGAACAGGTTTGTCAATACCTACATGCCACAAAGAAATTATATGTGAATCAGATGATGACTTGAGGAAAATTGCTGAATATTTCAAGAATGTGCCAAACAACCCAATAATTCTCAGACAATGTGTATGGTTTTACATTGCTGTTCACTTTGTAAGCAGGGGTGGGGAGTTTCATCATCAACTAAAGCTCAATTCATTCAACTTTCATTCTGATGCCTCAGGGGAATATGCCATACTGAATCATGAAATAAAGCAAAAAAACTTTCAAGGTGGTTTGCAGAATGAAGAGGCTCCCAATGACAATATACAATTGGGGCGAAACCACTGGGAGCGAAACCACTTAGCGCGAACATATAATCGGGGCGAACCCAATTGGATCACCTAGCTCACCTTTTTCCATTCTTCATTCCTAAAAGTTCTCCATGGTGCGAGAATCGTGTTTATCCTGCAGCAAAATGTTGGTATAATTTATATGTAGGGAAAGGGCGTATTAAGTTTTAAGAACTTTTGCTCAAAACCATTTGTAAAGTTTATAGGCAACAAAATATGTTCAAATCAAAATGTTTTCTGTGTAAAAACTGTAGACATGATTTTCTAAGAAATATTGGAATTTCAAATTTACATAATAATTAATTTACATAATGAAAAAAATTCAAATGCTCTATTTAAATTTATATTAACTCATTTCCCATGTCAAATTCCCAGTTTCATATATAATGCATGTAATATAAGACATATAATATAATGAATGTAAAATTATTGTACACACAAGTCACTATGATAAAATAATTACTTACTTATAGCCACTTCAAAAATGTATGGTATAGGTTAAATTTATAGGAAAAACGGGTTACTGTCATTTCGCCCCAAAACCAGAACGCCCCATGCATGAGCGCCCCAAACATTTTTACCGGCGCCCAAGTACAAATATGAGCGCCCCAAACTTATTCCACGAGCGCCCCAAATTAGCATTTCGAGCGCCCCAAACAACATCGTCCAATCTAACACAGGTATCTGTAGGTGCTCTCGTTATGTGATAATTTTATACATATAAGTACTTCATCAGTTATATTTTATTTTTGGAATATTTCACTTGAATCTATGTTGAAATTGACTTATGTTTAGTTGCATACAACTGTACAAAATATTCTTTTGTTTGACTTTCCTTCTTCAAAGAACACTTGTGTAATATTCTTTTATATTATCAACTTTTAAATATTTGTGTAATTAAAAACGATAGTTTCAAAGTCTGAGCACCGCCGTTATCCCACATAAAGGAGCCCGCTCAATTATAATCTCATAATTATTTCATAATGCTAGTTTACAAATCTTGGGGCGTTCGTTATACTTAAAATCTGGTGCACTTATGATAGATATAATTTGGGGCGCTCGTGAATTGTTCATATCAATATATTTTTAACATCGAAATGTAAAAAAAAAAAAAAAAAAAAAAAAAAAAAAGCCAACAATTTATTTCTTTACTAGTTAATGAGCCTTGGGGCGATCGAAATGCTGATTTGGGGCGCTCGTGAATTAAGTTTGGGGCGCTCATATTTGTACTTGGGCGCCGGTAAAAATGTTTGGGGCGCTCATGCATGGGGCGTTCTGGTTTTGGGGCGCAGTGACTAGCACCCAGGAAAAACCTTTGTGTACGAGTTGACTCCTCATTTTTGTGCACAGGAAAACTTTGTATTAAATCACATAGGAATGACTTCAGTTTTGGGTACGAGTTGACTTCAGTTTTGGGTACGACTCGGTTTGGGTACGAGTTTACTGTAAATCTTCCGTCGCATGGCTGCCGAACCCGAATTTGTACTACAGTACTTTTAAAAGTTGTTATCAGATGACTTATATCTGGAGTGAAGAAGGTTTGTTATGGCATAAAGCTTGTAGAATTTCCAAAACGAGAAACGCCGTCCATAAGCCGAGAAACGTTACTAAGTCTCCCTTCCCAAATGTTGTCGGAAGGGTGACTGATGAAAATGGCAGAATCATCCAAGCTTGAGAATGATTGCGACATTGGTCTTTCAAGTGATGTGGACTGGGAATCATCTATGTTTCAAAATGAAGACTGGGACTTTTTAACATCTTGTCATTTGGAAGGGGGTAGGAGGGGGAGACTAGGAAAGGTAACAGAGGGTGACAGGGACCATCCAATAGCTTTACAGGATGCACCACAGCTAAATAAGGAGGAAATAAGCAAAGATGATCCCAGTGTACATGACATCCCAGAATCTGAACAAGAACCTGCAACTGAAATTGATGGACCATCTCAAAATATGCTACCATCTCAAGAGTCAGGGTATTATTCACAGAGTGAGTGTGAATCGGATTCTTTGGTAGAAAATTCAGAAAAGCAATGCTTAACATATGCAGGTGATCATTGTGATATTGCCAGTCATCAAATATGGCCTGCAAGAAGTATTGAGTTGCCAGCAATGAGAAAAGAAAGGGAAGACCACCATGTGAACAAGAAAACAGAGAAAGACACATTAAAAATAATAAATGGAAAAAGAAAGGCAAAGAAAAAAGCAAAAAGATATAAGAAGAAAAAGAAATGTAAGAAGATTGTAGGCAGAGGTGTCCTGAAACTTCTAAAACCAGTTATAAACAAATATTGCAAAAAAAAACATTGCAGCTCTAGTAACCATGCTTGCCAACTTAAGATACTCAAAAAAGAATTAGTAAAATATTTGGTACGAAAAGGACTTCGACAGATTGAAATAAAAAAGAAGCTCATGCACTCTTTACTTAAACCATTGATCTTTTCAAGGAAGTGCTGGTCAGTATTTCCATTACTGGCAAAATGTGAGGAGAATTCTTCAAATAACATGGTGAAGGAATGGAATCGCTTAGCGTCATTTTCCTGTCTAAAGTTTAAGAATGTGTCAAGTTTGCGATTAGCAAAACATGGCTTTTTCTTTGTTAAAGATAAGGGTAGAATTGAGTGTTTTTCATGCCACAAGAATTACACTCAAAGAGATCTTGAAAATACAGTGGACTATAATTCCAAGTTGGAAACAACATTCCATGAAGAGTGGTGTTTGATTGTTGGAAATGTTCCTATACATCCATCAAGTCTTGAAATCCCAAAAGGTTTAAAGTTTATATGTACTAACTTAACATGTACTTGGCAATGCATTGTAATTCTGTTATATTGAAGACAAAGGACTATCTTGCTTAACATGCTTAAGGCCACTTTCTTTTAGTTGTTTTTCCCAAAAACTGGGATGGTAGGTTGGTTAAAAAAAAGTAAAATCAAAGACAAAATTATAATTAAACCCTCCCACTAATTTAAAGATTGCATACCAGTTACTGGTATATTGTTAGTTATCTGACACATTCAATTTTAAGATGTTATAGACTATAACAAGGCTCGGGGATAAAAAAAGCACAAAACTCTTGGGATAAAAATCATATCCAACCACAAATTATGGTAGATCCTATATTTATCAAATATAAACTTTTTTTTCAATGCAGAAAGTCTTATTTTTTGTGGTTGAAAAAAAAATTAAGGGGGCTGATGGGGTTTCCATTGTGCAATACTTCACGCATCATAGTAAAATGAAGTGTATTTACTCTTTAAAAGCAACTATTTTCACATAATTAATAAAATTTAACAAAATTAAAAATCACAGGTTAAAAAATCTAATTACAATTTTATATAACTGATGTTTTAAACGATTTTTCATTCGATAGGTAGATTGACGTCATAATAGTGTGTTTGTGACTTATAATAAACTGAAGTTCTTTAAGAGGGTATCATAAAAAATGTTATAAAAGAAAAAAACATAAAATAGAAGCTCTTGAAATTTAAAACATAGAAATTTGAGAATTTCACAATTATTTTTGTTATTTTTTGTGTAAATTTCTGTCATCTTTTGTAGTACTCCATAAAAACAGGAAAATTTCGTTAATTTTGACATTTTGAGATCCCCCATCTAGAAACCAGGCGGTAGAATTTTGTGTTTCTTACATATAATGTACAATATAGTATTACTCATCACATATTAGAGTTTTAGCAAAAAGTCTATTGTAGTTTTTGTATAATTTGCTTTGAAGTGTGAAAAATTAGCACTTTCCCATATGATCCTATAGTAAAAGTACCTGTATTTTGAGACAGTCCCTAAGAAATACCTAGACGGTAGATTTTTCCTAAACTTGGCATGTACACTGAAGTCAGTGTAAGCTACATATGGTATAAAATTAAAGAGTTTCTCTATTGTAGTTCTCGCACAATAAAACCCCAGTCGGTTCCCTTAAAACTAATACCTAATAAAAAAGTGGTCTAATTGTCTTTGTAGATATACAGGTTATCATTTCTTTTTATTATAGCTTTACCATCTCGTCATAAAAGGATATTTAAAGATGGAGATGGAAGATTAATTACCTGTAAAGGATTCTGTGGTCCAAATACTTTCTCTGTAGACCAAGGAAACATGTTGAGAGAATTTCCAGCTCTGGTTAAGGCATATGAAAGCTACAACCCTGGGAATGATCAGACTAATCCATTTTTGGTAAAATTTCCAAAATTCTCAATTTTTATACGCCCGTCTTTAGACGGGATGTATTATGTTATGGCGTTCATGTCCGTCCGTCTGTCTGTCTGTTAGCTTTTCTCGTGTCCGGCTCATAACTTTAATACTATTAGGCCTAGGATTATCAAACTTTGTCAGCTGATACTTCTTGGGTAGAAGGTGTGTCGCGCACTAAAAGTAGGTCGTTCTGACCTTTATTTAAGATGCTATGGCCAAATATGGAAAAATCTTGTCTGGCTGATAACTAGAAAACTATTAGACGTAGAATCATCAAACTTGGCCAATTTATGCATCTTAGGTAGAAGGTGTGTCGCTACCTATTTCAAGGTCACTGTGACCTCTAATTTAAGTGAAATTTAAAAAAAAAATATTTTTTTACTATTAAATTACACAATCCCAAAAAATGTAAAAGTGTTGCAGTATCCTTATCAAAAAATGTTAAAATCATGAAAATACTTATTTTTTTCATTATATACTTTACAGCAATCTATAAGAAATATAATGTTACAAGAGAAATTCCACCTCTCCCATGGGTGTAATTATCAAGCACTGGTCAAGGAGAATTTTGATAACAGAAAATTGTATGTCAAATTAGAGAGAAATTAATGAGTTTAGTGTGAGGAGCTAACTGGTAGAGCATCTCTGATCAAGCAGGTGTTATCTATGTCTCTTTGGAATTGGGCAGAGGAATCAGCCATGTTGGATTAAATAGTTTTTGTGGGCTAGCCTAACTTTTAAAATGAATTTGGTGAAAAGTAATTAGAACTAATTTGATATTGTATAATAAACTAGCATGATATTGTATTATAAACTAATTAATTAAAACTAATTATACTTGGGGGGGGGGGGGTGATATTGGACTTAGCATGCCCATTGTCCATATGAATTGCAGCTTAAAACCAGTCTGACATTGAATCTAAAGAAAAAAAAAGAAAGTATTTAAAAAAAAAATTAATTATGGTAGATAGTCCCTACAAATCTAAGAGTCTAGCAGAAACCTTATTAAAAATGTTGCATCAAGATTACAATTTTTTTTTCTTTTTATAAATCTTTGTAACAAATTGAAAAAAAAAATCTTTGTATTCAAATTTAATTTCAGAATGACATAAATATTCATTAATTTTTAAATGCACTACAAAGCAGATAGCGCAGATCCATTCATCCCTTGGGAGTAATGAGTGGACATGCGTCCAGTTAAAGAATAATTAATGAGTTCAGTGTAGGAAGGCTAGCTGTCTCAATCATTTCTGTTAGAGGATCTCTGATCAAGCTCTTATCTGTATCCTTTGGGAATTAGACAGAAGAACTGCTGGTCAGTTTATAGCATATATCAATTGATGGCCAGTCTTTTATTTTAAAATTAATTTGGTATAGATTAAATTAAGACTAAATTGATATTGTTTAATTGATATTTTTATTTTATTTTTTGAAAATATTGATGAACAAATTTCAGAGCATCATGTCTCACAAATATAAAAGATTGTGTGTGTGTCACTGTCACTGTGTGTGTGTGGGGGGGGGGGGGGGGGGGGGCTGCAGATGGGTATTTGTCAAGCTCTAACACAACCAGTTGAGGATCGATAATGTTATATTTGTTATAATTCATGCCTACACCATAGGAAATGTATAAACAATTAAACGATTATAAGGAATGGAAACATCTTGAAAATCCTTGTATCAAGGTTGACATGATTTTCTTGCACTCTGAACTGTTAGTGTTAATTGAACAATATTTGATGGGCATATCATGCTGTGGCGGGGCACTTTATTTTTAGCATGATGGTAGAATTATTTCATTTCTATTTCATGTTAAGCATGTTAAGATATAATCTGGTTGGAAATGTTGAGTCATTCTTGATGTTTACTTGTATTTTTAGCTCACTTGAGTCATAAAATTGACTTAGAATACAGTGATTTTTTTTTCCCAAATAGATTATGTATTTAGCTTAAGTCAGTGAAATTATAAAACAAAAACTAGATGAGATCTCGTTGCGAGCAACGAGTAGGTCTTCCGTTAGATTTCTGATAAAATCTTGATTGGGAAATTTTGATTGATGAAAGAAAGTAAAACAACTTTAAATGTAAAAAATATTCATATCCATTCTTCAAAATTGTTTAGCAACTCATAAAAGAGTGAAATCTATCAATTTCAAACAACTTCCTGTCCTTTTTATTCACTTCTGGTATGACCGGAAGTACTCACAAGAGGCCCATGGGCCACATCGCTCACCTGAGTAACTTTGGCCATGCTGTTCTTTACCAGATCCCCCCCCCCTCCTTGTAATACCTATTGTGGCCCCGCCCTACCTCGGGGGGTCCTGTTTGAACAATTTAGAATCTACACTACCCAAGGATGCTTCCACATAAGTTTCAGCTTTTTTGGTCCAGTGGTTCTTGAGAAGAAGATTTTTCAAGATTTTTCCTATATATTTCAATGTAAAACTTGGATTCCCTATTGTGGCCCCGCCCTACCCCCGGGGGTCATGATTTGAACAATTTAGAATCTACACTACCCCAGGATGCTTCCACATAAGTTTCAGCTTTTCTGGTCCAGTGGTTCTTGAGAAGAAGATTTTTCAAGATTTTTCCTATATATTTCAATGTAAAACTTGGATTCCCTATTGTGGCCCCGCCCTACCCCCGGGGGTCATGATTTTAACAATTTAGAATCTACACTACCCAAGGATGCTTCCACATAAGTTTCAGCTTTTCTGGCCCAGTGGTTCTTGAGAAGAAGATTTTTCAAGATTTTTCCTATATATTTCAATGTAAAACTTGGATTCCCTATTGTGGCCCCGCCCTACCCCCGGGGGTCATGATTTGAACAATTTAGAATCTACACTACCCAAGGATGCTTCCACATAAGTTTCAGCTTTTCTGGTCCAATGGTTCTTGAGAAGAAGATTTTTAAAGATTTATTCCTCTATATGTCAATGTAAAACTTGGATTCCCTATTGTGGCCCCGCCCTACCCCCGGGGGTCATGATTTGAACAATTTAGAATCTACACTACCCCAGGATGCTTCCACATAAGTTTCAGCTTTTCTGGCCCAGTGGTTCTTGAGAAGAAGATTTTTTAATGACCCCACCCTATTTTTGTCTTTTCTTGATTATCTCCCCTTGTAAGGGGACTTGGCCCTTTATCTTAACAATTTGAACTCCCCTTCACCCAGGGATACTTTGTACCAAGTTTGGTTAAAATTGGCCCAGTGGTTCTTGAGAAGAAGTTGAAAATGTGAAAAGTTTACAGCAGACGGACAGACGGACGGACAGAGGGACGGACGGACAGACGGACGGACGACGGACAACGGGTGATCAGAAAAGCTCACTTGAGCTTTCAGCTCAGGTGAGCTAAAAATGACATTGAACTCCTCACTGAGTGTGGAGGAATCATCCCTCAAAGTTTCGAGGAAAAATGAGCATTTTTTTGACTACTTCCGGTTCGGAAGAAATAACTTCCGGTGGAAATAATATGACTCAAAACAGTCTATTTGCCTCTATTAAAAACATTTCAATAAGAAAAAAATGAAAATTTGCCTATTTTTAAACTACTTCCGGTGGACAACGGACATCAATGCAACAAAAACTATACAGGTTTCTCAAATCTATGAGTCACAATCTATCATCCCTGAAAGTTTCAAGACTCAATCTCTAACCGTTTTTGAGAACACTCACGGACAAAATGCCATTTTAAAAATGGAAAATTGGCCATATCTCACGACCGGAAGTGACGACGACAAAAGGGAAAAAAACGCATAAAGTTCAGATAATTTGCCATCATTGCTGAAAGTTTCATGAAAATCTATCGAGGCGTTCTCGAGAAATCGTCTGCACAAAATCGATAGGAAAAAAAAAAAAAAATAATAATAGTGGAAAAGAAACAACAGAATCAGTAGAAGGTCTTCCGTTGGAAACGGAAGACCTTAATAATAATCACTGCTTTATAAATTCCTTTACTTTAGGATAATAAGCATATTAAATTTAATAGAAATATAATATGTAATTATGGGATACACATCAATGAATATTACTTTTAGTTCATTTTTAAAAAGATAATTTTATCAACTTGTAATTTGTTCAGGTATTCCTGTAGTCACCAGCATTTTGTGATAAATTTATATGCATATAAATTTTGAAATGAACCAAAATCCAGAATTATGGGATCTTTGCACCAAATCGAAAAAAAAAGAATCATGCTGCATTGACAGTTTCAGTGCACTGCACAGCCATATAAGTTTTGCAAGGGAATGTATAGGAAAAATCTCTTAAAATTGCCATTTTGTGAAATGCATTTCTTGTAGCTAACCTGAGCTTAAATATTTTTCAACTTCTTCTCAAGAACCACTGAGCCAGACTTCTAACAAAACATCCAATAAAGGACCATATATTTGGTGGCATCTTTGAAAATCACAGGGGAAGGGTGGGGCCACAATTAGGGATCAAAGTTTTACATAGCAATATATAGGAAAATATGTTTAAAAATCTTCTTTTCAAGAAAAATTGAGCCAGAGAAGTTGAAATTTATATGATTTCAAGCTTCCTGAGAAAGCAGGGTTGCAAATAACCTTTAAAACCTTAGGGGCCATGTGGGCCCCCAGCTTTTCAAGTCACATTAATATTTTTTGGGCTCAAGATCTTCTGTCCACGTTAGTTAAAAATTCTCCATCTTTTTGAATCAAAATCTATGAGAAATAAGTGTACTTTGCTGTCCACAGCCTTTCATTTTTTTTATGTGGATTTTTACACCACTTGTATGATATTTTACATTTTAAATCAATGCATTTTCCTTCACTTTGAGACAATGTTGATGCAATTCAGAGTCTAGAAAATGTTTTGTAGGTATGAAATAACAAAAAACAAAAGTGCCTTTAATAATAGAAGCAAACCAAAGTCAGGTTGTGGAAAAGTCCCAATAAAATTCCAAATCACCATGTGGGTGATAACATCATCAAGAATTGGTCACCCACAGACAAAATTACG